AATTTTTTTTTTTAATTAATAAGACCAAACAGACTCATCTTTCTCCATGAAATTTCAGCGGCTGGGTTTGAAATGGCAACCTTACATTTAGCAGTCTGACGTTTAACATAGACTGCTGCTAGGCCTCTTTCTCTTTCTATTTGCGGGTGATGTCTGGCCAGGATCTTCCTGTTTGTGTGGGACCTTGTTACACGTTCTTGATCCCTCAGCACACTCCAATCACTTTGTCCTTGGGCATTTACATTTCCCTTTCTTTCAGTCTATCTGAGTGTGTTCCTTCTCAACTGTTTATAGAGCACCTGTCACCCAGTATCCCCATGGCTGCAACTTTTAACATATTCTCTTATATGACAAGTCTCAGTAGGATTATGATACTACCACCCTCTGAATATATTTGTTTTTCTTAAGAGATAATTCACATGTCATATACCTCCCTAGATCAGTCATATTTGAAAGAGTTGTATGTACATCTTGACTCTGCCCAAGAAATATTTCCCATGAATCCATCTTACAACAAAGCCAAAACCAACCAACCAACCAACCAAACTGCTGCCATTGAGTTGATCAATGGTATTCTCGGTTATAATCCTTATGGAAGATGTCAGCAAGCCTTCCTTTTGCAGCACCAATGGATGGTTTTGAGCAAACAACTTTATATTTGCTAGTCCTGTGTAAGGGGCTTTTATATAACCACACATGCCAAAATGGCACCCCAGTTTACCATGCTGCATTACATTACATGTTATATTCAGTGAGCCACCATTACATCATCTTTTAAAGGGGGATTTTAGAAGTAGGAACATATTCTTTAACAATGCTATGTGCTAATGCATCAAATGCATGATATGTTTCCCCTGTTAAATCTTTATTCACTTTATCTGTTGCCCTCCCTTACCAGGCAAAGAAGGGGAAGCTTTGCTCCAAAACTCACTGTGTTAGTAATCAAATCCTATTTTATGGCCGCGATTTCCCAGGTCCAGTCCATTGACTACAATGCAATGCTTTCTAATTGCCACTTAACATTTGGCAATTAGAATTTCTCATCCGTAAGGAGAAAAAGAATTCCATAAAAGAAATACAGGTCTTTGATTTTCAGAAGAAAATGACAGAGAGGTTCCTGATAGTGTCACTGTGGAAAACCAGAAAGCTAAAGAAACAAAAATCATTATCAGAAGGTCATCATTTATTAAACTCATCAAATCAGTTAGATTGATTTTAGTTCTTCATGCAAATGCATACTTAGTGATGTCATCAACCTCCACATGAACCCAGTGGGACATTAAGCATCTATTTTCTAAGTCCCAGGAACACTGGCATAAACCTGGAAGAAGTACTAGGAAAGGTTTAGGTATTGATTGGTGTTAAATGCAATACCACCAAAGGAAACAAGATGCTACATAAGTGAGAAGGACTCATTTTCAATAAGAAGCACAAAGCTACAGAGAAGGTACAGGTGTGAATCATGTAGTTATCATAGGAACTACAGCAATTTTCACCTCCTGCAAAACTAAAATGAAATAACCAGTCAGAAGCAATGTAAATAGCATCAAGGTAATATAATTTAAAATTGACACAAAAGGCATAAAAATGGTTCAGTCCATACAATCATGGTCACTAAAGAAAAGTCAGATAACTCTTAAGATACTTGTATGATAGAAACGAGATATGGTGATATATATGTTAGCAATATGTTGCTGAAAATGAAATATACATGTGAACATGCACCTTTAAATAAATAAGACATTTCATCGAGTCCCAACCTATACCATGTCTATGTTATTTGATGCAATGGTAGCTAGCATGGCACCATGGTTTAATTATTGGCACATTACTATTACTCTTTATTAAAATAGCACTGCACAGGATGCCGATTGAAATGTTAGAAGTGAGAGCATTTACTCTTTTTCTTCTGCTTCCTATATAGACCGAAGTGTCTGAAAAATCATTATAAGTCCTGTAACATTCAAGGAGGCAGTAAGGGAAAAGAAATAAAGCTGCACTCATTTAAACTGAACAACAATGAAAACATACTTTTGGGGAATCGAGGAGGGTTGTCATTGACATCAGTGAGGGTGATATTGACAATCGTGGTTCCAGCTAATCCTCCCAGCTGTCCACCCATATCCTTGGCTTGGATGAGCACCTGGTATTGTTCTTTGACTTCCCTGTCCATGTTCGGCAAAGCGGTTCTAATAACACCTTGGGGTGGGGGAGGGAAGATAACAATAAAGCACAATATTACATTATATCTTCCAAAATAAACATGTGTGACCCTAGAAAACTATCCCACCTGGGTTTGCTAGCAAAAACACCCTTGCTAACAGAAATCATGTGCTTTTATAAAAGACAAAACACCCCGAAGATCAAACCATGGAAGTCTAATTAAAATACGATAGTAAAACATATGACAATACTAGGTAGCAATGAAGAATACGGTTAAAGATCCAAACACTGAC